AAAAGTTTGACCTGAATATCTAACGGGTCAGTTCTAGGCGTTTTACCGTGCGTACCCCATTTTATGCTACAACGATCGAGTAAACGCCCTCGGCCGACCTACCTCTACAAAGGTATGTAAAAGCCTTCGCATGTGGGCCGGTAGCTCAGCAGGGATACGCCTACCTGAGGGTGGTGACAACCCCTTGGGTAGAGGTAAGTTGTACCTCGCGACGCCCCGACCTGTCGTGGGGTGTCGTGAGAGGTATAGCCGGCGCGCACGGTCGGAGTAGTGACTTACTGTTCTTCAAGAAATAAATCTTGCGTGACACGACAGTGAGGTTCAGCGCTCCCAGTGGGGTGCGGGACCGCCATGCACCCCTTGTAGAGGTGTCGCCTTCTTCGATGTCGTCGCCGACCGCATCCCTATCACCCATAGATTCGAGACCGCCTAAAAACCCGGATGGAAGTTGCACACCTCCCGCACCGCCAATGTCGGTGACATTTTGTGGGTGTATGGTGTGATTCTTTGCGCTGGACCCCTTGATCTCTTCATAGACGGCCTGATCCATGGTGAAATTGAACCTCTTTGATAACCATGATTCCTTTGTCGATCGGTCGAAAAGTGTTACTTGCCATGCGTCGTCGTCAGGGTAAGGGTTTACGAGGACTCTCCGTGTGGCGGCCGATGAGCTCCCTCTAGAAAGGTCGAATGACAGATTCACGTCACCATCAACGTCATCGCAGCGCAAACCCTTATGCAGGAGTTCGATGTACGACTGTTTGTACGTGCTATCACAACTCTCGTACAATTGGTTTTCCGCCCACTCCTGGGTGGACCCATTCCCAGAGCCACGGTTCGTGACCATGCTTCTGCCACCTCGGCATCTGATGAGTCGGGCAAAGGTTGATTGTGAGGTGGCAGGAGCTCGTAAGCAGACGGGTCGTATGCCCTCGAGCTGAAAGTCGGGGCATGGTCAGCGTGGTGGGTTCTATACTGCTCCATCTATGTCCGACTCTTCGTCTGTCGTTTGTCCATGTTGAAGTCCTTCTTCGCAAACCGCCTCTTGCTCGTACGTCCAGTCACCCTGCTTAGTATGCACACGTGGAAGACAATGACAATGATAAGTAAAATGACGACCACGAGCAGCAGCGACAACCTTCGATGTCGGTCATGAACGACACGTGGGGAAGGGCGGTAGCTACCCGAGGACAACACACCTCCAACAAACGATGAGGTGGTTAACGAGTCCACTAACATGCAATATTTACATAGGTATTTAAGTTTTGAACACCCCCCCCGCAAAACAAAACAAAACAGAGGGAAGGGGTGGGGGTTCAGGTTTTTTAGCATCTTCACCACTTCAAAGTTTTCAGAATCTTCAACTTTAATCTACATCTAAACTATGAAATTTCTTAAATTGATGAAGTGGTGAAGGTGCTGAAAATTATGAACAACCCCTCCTTAAACCACTAGTACCTTTGGAGCGTGGGAAAATAGGGAAAAGTGGACGTTTTCCCAAACTCCTAAAGTTTCGAAGGTCGGGCTCGGCGATGGCTGCCATTGATAAATCTGATTGGCGACCGTCATTTCGTTTCGGCCTCCGAAAAGGTCGGAGGCGGCAGGCCCACCGGAGGCCCGCTTTTTTTCCACGCGTCAAAGGTACTAGTGGTTTAAGGAAAACAAAATAGGGGAAGGCGGGGGAGGTTCAAAACTTTCAACATCTTCACCAGTTCATAATTTTCAAAATCTTCAGTGTGAAACTTCATCCGGATGCCTCGGGGGAGTGTTCAAAATTTTCATCATCTTCACCAGTTCAAAATTTTCAGAATCTTCAACGTCTATTTGCATTGGGATATAAGAGGGGCATTCAAAATATTCAACATTTTCAACACCCAAAATTTTTATAATGTTCAACATTATCCAATGGAGGGGCATTCATAATTTTCAACACCTTTTAAATCGTTGAAACTCGATTTTAGAAAACTCCAAAATCGTTTTTTCCCACTTCAGAATTACTTTTGGTGAGGATTCAGCAAGGCGTTGACCGCTTGTGAGCAAACGACGACGAAAAGGGGAGCAAACGACAGACGGAAGCATCTGACAAAATCCCTCTAACGTTTACATCGTGGAGTACAGTGGGTAATCGAAAGGTGTGTCGACTAAAATATTCAATTTCGCCAACCGTTGGACCCCTTTACATTTTGCAGCATGCACTGCGAGGGAGAACAATGCTTGAGGACGTTCGTGGAGGCCGATCGGTCCTCAACGGTTGGCGTAAGGTTCCTTGAAGGCGAATGTTGATGATCGAAGATGTCTTGGTGGCGGCCCGTCGGCACTCCTATGGACCAGCCCACCATAAATGTTGTATCGACGATGCTTGTCGGCGCTGCTCGGATTAACGCGGATCCTTGACCTCCGAGTGACCTTGGGAGGTCCCTTGGGGATCGCCACCAAATGCCTGTAGCCCAAGGACGCCCCGAGGATTCCCCGAGGAAATGTTTGCATATTTGTTTTTCAGTTTTCATCCCCGAGGATAGGTGAAACGATAATTTGCTCGGGGGGATTTATGTGCCCGAGGAGTGTCTAACGAGCACCTAGTACCACCTGAGAGGATCCAATCGACTATTTCAGCTGGTTGGTGCCCATGGACTGAATGTTTTGTAAAAAAAACAAAAAAAAAAACCTACGGGCTGCATATCCTTGCCCTCACCGTTAGTCAGTCCTCCCTGCGACCCGCGCCAAACCCCTCCATAGCCCACCCTTAAATCCACATACCCTTCCCATGACTGCTATTCTATCTATGACCAGTCAGACCAACGACGAACAATGATTTGACTTGGGGTGTATAAATGCAGTGTACTGGTTGCCAATTGCCAATTGCCTGTGCGGCAGTTCGGCACAGGGCCAATAGCGGGCTGGTGCCATGCTAGAATAGTCAGCAACATCCAAGAACACAGGATGAATCAGCACACTCTCTTTTTCTAGTCTATGCGTTGGGGTTGCACTTGTCGTTGGGGTTGCACTTGTCGAGGCCAGTGCTGCTCCTGCATGCCCACTGGCCCAGTGACTAGAAAAGCTTCCCGGGCTCATCGTGGCCACCTACTTTCAAAATCTGGTGGCTCACATTGCTGTGCATTGCTGCACATTGCTGCAAGTTATCCTCTGCCTCATGGACCTTGGCACAAATGATTTGTCTACTGTACATCCAATGATGAGGCCCTGGATGGTGTCCAATATATACATATACATAGTTGCACATACATAATTAAAATGGGAATATTTTCGAAATACCCCTCTGACTTCCATTTAGTTACGGCATGCTCCTCCGATGGCAGACTTACCCTGTTGTGCCGCTGGGGCCTCTAAAGTTTCCTGCAGGCCCCTGTCAGTAAGGGGTGAAACTTTCCAGCATGCCCTGTGGCCGTTGGTGGCACTCGGCCTTTCCCCTGGCGCTGGGAGGGGAGCCACCGGGGCACACTGGAAAGTTGGAACAAGTCAGGTAGGGGCATATTGAACATTCTGAGGCCCAGGGGTTTTTCGGAACCTGCAGTCATTGTGCAAGCGGCGCGACAGGGTAGTCGGCCGTCCGAGGGGCATACAGCAAACGAATAGAAGTCCGAGGGGCATACAGCAAACGAAAAGAAGTCCGAGGGGCATTTCGAAAATTTACAAAATAATAATGAGTCGGTGAAACTCCGACGAAACAGTTTATCACAGCCCCTCGTTTGTTGTCCTCTTCTCCCTCTCTGCGTACGGTTTACCGGGCAGCTCTGTTTGACGATATATTGAATATATATTCTGCATACACTTAACTCGTGGTAAGGTTGTCAGTGTGAGCGATTGAACCAAATGGTCATGTTCCTCCTCTTCTCCTGCGGGTTTTCGTCGTGACGATCATTGACAACAGGACAGCCGCTGACCGCCGATCGGTTACGTCAATTTCCCGTTATAAAGCCCATAACTAGCTTTGCCGATCTTACTCGCTGACAGTTGCGCTTCGAGACCGCCGCGAGTGTTGTGCGCAGTGGCCGTCTAGAAGGCGGACGCCCACGTGGGGATTCGAGGCCCGAACAGTGCGATGAGGGCTATAGCAACCTGCATCCGGGACAGGGTGATGAGGGCTGGGAGTGCACCCGGCGCCCCGAAGAGTGCGATGACGGTTAGCGCACCGCGCTTCTATCGATCACGAGACGGAGTAGTTGCCCTGGATTACGGTATTGTCAGACCAGTCGCACCGAGGGATGGGGAGGGAGCGGATGTTAGTCTTTGTCAGACAGTATTGACAGGACGACAGTCGCGACGAATAGGATCTGAACAGGACCGATCAGACTGTCTGAGGCGCTTGCGAATGCCGGTTTCCCGTGGGGCCGCGCCAGAAGGGGCGTGCGGGCTCTCGGTTACTAACAGTACAATCGTCGTGGTCTGCCGGGAATCGATCAAGTAGTGTCAGGTTCTTCTTGCAGGGATTGTGTGGTCATAGCGTTGAATTTATGTAGTGGCTACTAGTCAGATCGTGGCATGTCGCTGGAGCTGGGCGTACATGCATTGATCATGGAACGGATTGATCTCTAGATGAGCGTTTTTTTTGGGTCTTCACGGCGGCAAATTAATCGAATCATTTACTGGACGACACTTCGTGTGGCTGAATGTGTATACGCCGTGTGGCTGAATGTATATACGCCGTGTGGCTGAATGTGTATACAAGAGAGAGAGAGAGAGAGAGAGAGAGAGAGAGAGAGAGATTGGGGAGCTAGCGAACCTGGCTTCCCACAGTTGATCAAGCATTTTCGCGTCTGTCCGATTCGGGAGGAGTATGGATGCCCTGCATAATTATTGGAGTTCATGTTCACGGAGGCCACATACTACTGGTAGTGGGGTTGTTACAGCGGACGCGACACGCAATGTCGCGCCGCGTGTCGCACTCTTTCAGAACTTTATCATTTCGTTGCCACGTTGAAACCCATCGGAGAAAGGGGCGACGGTAGAGCCGCGTGTTCTATAAACCTGCGTGAAGGCTCGTGGAGCCCGTGGAAAAGGGGAAGAGGAGAGAAAAACGGAAGGCAGACAGCTCGAAAATGACTGACAATGACAGTCAGAGGTTGGTGTACATAGTGGTGTACGACGAGGAGGTAGGCGTGTGGAAAGGCGGGGGAGGGGGCCAAGTCGGAAATGGAGGTCGTTCGGCCAGCGGGGAACAGCTGGGTCGGCACCCCCGTGGGAGCGGAGAGGAAAATGGCGGTAACAACAGCAGTGGCATCATCCCCGATGGACGCGGAGGGCGGCGACAGGGGGTGTCGGAATCTCGATACACCCGCTCGATTTTGGCATCGGCTTTGCAGTTGATGGGTTGCAAGCCTAGACACGCGCACAAGGTTAGCGCACTTGTCTTTCAGATGTTGCGCAAGCGCATGGAGGCGGAGAGCAAACGGCGCGCACGAACGCGCGGACTCTTTCTACGTGGCAGATCTGCGAGCGCAGAAGTGACGACCAAGTCCAGATTGAGAGAAAAGGATCCGAGCGGTGACACATCGCCGCAGCCTCAGCGCAGAGCGGGGGCATTATCAACGGAGAGTAGGCATCTTCTTGCCCCGGACGAGGCTGCGCCGGGACCCCGTGCGGACGGATGCGACGAAAGGGGTGTCGGTGTCTGGGATGGAATCGTCAGATCAGTTGGTAAGATCGGACGGCGGGGAGGGGAGGCGTATCATCAGCAGCGCCATCGTGGCAATTCTGCGGAGGGGACCAAGGCGGCAATCTCGAGTGCGGCCTGGGGTGTCGATGGCGAGATCGTCGAGCGAGGGAGGAGGATGACAACCGCCACCCCATCTCCTACCTCGATTACGGAGAAGGAGAAAAAAGCAAATCCGACGGCGGGGAGCATGGTGAGGATCGATCGCGAAGCTTTTGTGGATGTAGTTTGTCAGGCGCTGAACGAGTACCACTACGCCGCGCCGAACACGCGGTCAGATCTGATGCTGGCTTGCAAAATTCGCGAGCGGAAAAGTTCGGTGACAGTGTTGCTCTGTGGGACTAGCGGTTGCGGCAAGTCAACGTTGGCCTCTCTACTGGCCAGTCGTCTGGGGATCACTACCGTGGTCTCTTCCGATTCCATACGGCACATGATGCGTTCCTTCGTGAGCGAGAAGGACAATCCGCTGCTTTGGGCGTCGACGTATCACGCAGGAGAGTTCATCGACATGGACGCAGTAGAAGCGGTGAAAGCGCCGTCCAGCGGACGCAAAGCCGATCCTGAAGAGAGCGCCGGCTCTGGCGCGGGTTCGAAAGGAGAGATGCAAAGAACTGGAACGCCATTGCCACTAGCGTCATCATGCGCCGGCTATGCTTGGGGAAGCAGAGCGCCGGTGAGGGACGGTGAAATGGATGTCGGGATCTGGACAGAAGCAGGGGCGGCAGCTGGATTGAACGGCAGGTCGTCGGAAGTACCTGGGAATAAGCAGTGTCTTTTACAGAAGGAGCCGGTAGAGGGAGGAGGGGACGTGACGGTTGATGATCCCTCTGCTGCTTCCTCGCACCCTCCTCCTCGGTACAGACCTTCTGCGACGGAGGAGGAGAAGGACCAACGGTGGCATCCAGGTGACAGCGGCGGCGTGAATGTGGTACACGGGACTGGTCGGATCGATGATCCCACGGATGAGAAAAGCCTGGAGGAGGATGCGGTGGATCGGAGACTTCGCAGATGTGTCAGCGGCGACGGAGATTGGGGAGTAGTAGGTGGCAAAAATGACGGTGAAGAAGACGAGAATAAGCAAGGGGTTCAGTGCACGACGACGCAAAATGGACGTGGATCTCGTTGTATGATGCGGTCGGGTATCAGCGATTCTGGAGCAAGTATTGGAGCGGAACGTGGAGGCTCTCTCTCCCTTCCGACCGGAGGCGATGTACCGCCAACTTCTTCTTCTTCTTCTTCTTTGGTTGGGCAGCAGTGTGGCTCGAGTGGTGGTGGCGGTGGTGGTGGTTATTGTGGGTTGGCAGCAGGGCCAGCAGACGGAGCGACAGCAACATTTACTTCTGCTACTATGTGTGGAGGAGGAGGTAGTGTAGGAGATTTCGCGAGCGGGGCGGATAAGAAGCGAACCATTAAGGGGTATAAGGCGCAGAGCGAGATGGTGATTGACAGTTTGGATAGATTGATCGGCACATACGAAAAGCGGAAGGAGTCGGTGGTGGTGGAAGGCGTTCATTTGAGTCTGAACTTCGTGATGGGTCTGATGAAATCGCATCCGTCCGTGATTCCGTTCCTAGTGTACATCAGCAACGAGAGCAAACACTTGGAACGTTTTGCGGTGAGAGCCAAGTACATGACACTGGAGCCGTCGCGGAACAAATACGTTAAGTATATACGAAACATCCGGACGATCCAGGACTACCTATGCAAGCGCGCGGACAAACACCTCGTGCCCAAGGTGGACAACACGAATGTGGACAAGAGTTTGGCGGTGATTCACGCCACCGTCTTCGGGTGTCTGCGTAGGAGAGAATCGGGGGAGTCCTTGCTCGACGTGGCGACCAACACAGTTCGTCCGGTGTACTTGGAGTATCAGAGTCAATACCCGAGCGCCACGGTCAGCTCAAAGGGGATGTTTCAATTGATTCAGAGAAAAGGCTCGCAGAAGGATCTGATGGCGTTGATCGCCTCGGACGGTCGAATGGCGGGGCCGTGGCCTGTGCCTCCGGGCACGACGGTGCAGACGCTTCTGGAATCTGGTGGGGGCGGCGGAGGGGGAGGGGTTGATCAAGTGGGAGGTGGTCGCGCAACGGACGCCACTGTCCCGCCAAACCCGAATGCGGATTTGAATGTGAATGGAGACGCGGGGATCGGAACCGGGAGCCAAATGGAGGAGTATGGAATGACGGGGGGACGGGCGCAGGTGCAGCAGGGACAGGGGGAGGAGCAACAAAGAGGACGGAAGTCCGCGGAGAGGAGTTCGCCAGCGGAGGGAGGGGGAGGAGATGGTGCGGGGACCGGAGATAGGAGTCCGCGGGTGCTGTGGTCCCCAGTTCACCTCAGGTTCGGAGGGTATGGAATTGCCGGTTGGGGAAGTGATGTGGGCGGGAGCAATTATAGCAGCGGAGGAGAGAGTGGGGGATCATCTGGGGGACGGTTGGGGGGTGGCGGTTGGTCCAGCAGGGGCCCTATTTCGACGGTTCATGGGGCCGTGGGAGGAGTGGCTGGGTTTCAGGATTACGATCTGTGGAGCACTAGCAGAGCCAGTACTTCGGGGTCCAGCTCTCCTCTCCGCGGCGACGAAGCTATGGAGCTCACGGCGGCGGCGGAGGCGGCGGTGGGAGGGGGCTCTCCATGCCGAGGCGGTTATTATGAAATTCAGGATGCGCTGGGTTACTACGCAGATGGTGGGCAACAGGAAGGTATGATCGGAGAAACGGTCGACCCCTCTAGTGAAGAGGTGGAGGAGGATGTGGGGCAGGAAGTGGGGGAGGGATGGGAAGACAGCGATGCTGGTGCGCGGACGAAAGAGGAAGAGGGCGCGGAGGTTGGATCGGTTAATGAAAGCTCAGGGGGATCAGATGAAGAACAGCCGCCGCAACAACTCAAGGAAGCAGCGGGCGGAATGGGACTGAGATGGAGCGGCAGCCGTGGCGGGAGTGTGGAGTCCAACGGAAGGGAGGAGATGTCAGAAGGGAGCAGCGGGTGGGCGGAGGACGATGAACGAAGCGAGAGTGAGGAAGAGTATGCGGGTAGAGTCGGCAATTCCAAGGGGGATACTGCTAGCGAGGATCGCTGGCGTGCCGGCGGCTGGAAGAACAGCCAGCGCTCCAAGGTCACCACCGCTGCGGCTTTCTGACTGCAGGGATGATCTGAATGAGCGAGTGGATATCGTTTACGTACATACAATGGCGCGTCAACAAGTCTCAATGCCGTGTCCACTATCTCCGTGTCCTTGTCATGCTCTTTTCGCTGTGTTTGCCCGCTGACACGGTTACTGCGTCCTCCTCTTGATCTCCACGTCCTTGCTTCTTTCGTCTATTTCTGCGGGGTTTCCTTCCTTTCCCCTTCAATTTTGTCGCGTGCGCACTCCTGCGGTTTTGGTACTCTTCTTTTCTCTGTTCCTCCTTGTGTGTGAATTTAGTTGGGGTAAGGCAGCGAGAAGGGATTCATGCGTGTAAATTGCTGGTCGCAGTTGGCCTTTCCACAGGCCGCAGGAATGAAGTGAAGTGAAGTGCCGCCGTAAACCAACTGATGATCCCATTGTCAGTGAGAGCGACCGATCGGTCGCTGCCAGTGTCGTGCGTCGGTCACGCAGCGGGAAACAACACGTTACTTGGGAGAGAGAGAGAGAGAGAGAGAGAGAGAGAGAGAGAGAGAGAGAGAGAGAGAGAGAGAGAGAGGTTACCTCAGATTTTATCGAGGCAAGACGGCACTTGGAAGACGAGAGGGATACTGGTTACTTCATACTTTGTCTCTAACACAAATGCTATGGCTGTGACACGGTTAGAGCTTTCAGTTCTGCAGAGAGAGAGCAGGGATAAGAGAGAGAGAATCGATCATTGCAATTGCAGTAGAGTTGTAAGAGTAAGTTGTAGCGTTGTAAGAGTAAGAAGGGAGTAGAAACGGGGTGTCGTCTTGAATGAAATGGCGACGGCGAAGGTTGAAGAGTGGGGGAGGAGAGGGATACGCAGGAGGACAGAAGAAGACGGTTGGCCTCACCGCACCACTCACCAATGCGCAAAACGAGAATGCATCTCCTGCTAGAACGTATAAAGATGTTCCCGCCATATTTTTGCCTTTCTCACATTTGGTGAGTGGTGCGGTGAGGCCCTATATCGCCGAATGGTGGTGGTGATAGCACGTGGTATCCACGGGCGCCCGGAAGGAAAGAACAAATAAAGGTGTACGGTAACCGAGCTTGTACACAACGCATCTAACGTTGTGCACGATTGTCATATAGAAGAGGAGAGGAGATGGCGGCAGAATGAGGGAGGGAAGAGTGAACGGGTGTGACGGAAGAGGAGAACGGTGGCAGTATGGATGATGAAGTCCTGCTACGTGACTGGGCCCTTGCGAGTGACAAGGAGAAGCAGCAGCTCTAGACGTGTACATATGTGCATTCTTTCTTTGTCTGTGGACGATGCAGTGCTGCTGGCCGAGAGAGGAGCGTGCAGCGATTTTGATCTCAGTCGATGAGTAATAAGTGTTTTCAACGTCTGCGTTGGATTTGGATATCGATTCGCGCTTTAAGCCTTACCGATTTCGCGTCTATATGTGCTACAGTTCTCACGGCTAAGCTGGAGGCTAAGTGCTTTCTGTGGTGCTCCGTCTCGCCCTCGTGCTTCCTTGACGACAGGCAGCACGTAGCACGAGATGGAGGACCACAAGGTGCAGTTCATCCCAATGTGCAAAATATGAGTGAATCCTCCGCTAGCACATGGAAAGATTCAATGCCATATTTTAAGTCTTTTCTGCATGTGTTGACTAGTGGAGCGGCGGCCAATATCTGCTTGTTGCGCTCCAACCACCAGTTGTGTTTCTACATGTACGATTACGATGCTTTGCACGGCTCAGCTGGATGTCAACTCCATAACGTGCCTTTTGCTGTCTGTGTGTCGTTGTTTTCGAAAAGGTGGTAATGGGCCTGGCGGGCGGGTTTTTAAGTCCAAGTGAGCAGTCATTGTTGCACGGTCTTGTACTGCAGATCTGCAGATGAAAGCGGCATGCGCTGTAAGTGTAGCTGCCACGTGCCACTGTTCGTCGGAAGGGGGAAACGACGTTCATCCCAGATGTAGTGTGAAAAATGGTTGAAAGCACACAGCGATCCATACATACAATAATCGCATCACAAACATACTACACTACATTAATCACGCATCGAGCCATACTACAGTTAATAGCATCACAAAGAGTAATGGTGGCTAGCAAGCAGCGATGACCGCCGTAAGGGAACTACTAGGGTCCATGTCTGGCTGGCTGGTTGGCGGGCAGTTAGTTGGAGGAGGAGGATGAGGCAGAGGAAATCTAAGTTTGAGAGGACGATGGGTGGGTTGGTTTGGTTTGGTCGTTCTAAGTTTGAGAGGACGATGGGTGGGTTGGTTTGGTTTGGTCGATGGACTAGTTGCGAACTGACACAAGCCTCATCGGGACACCGAAAACGGATGGATGGGTTTGTGATGAAATGGAGAGGCGAATACTGTACTCAACTGCGAAGCACTGGACCTTCGATGGTTGGATTTCTGTTGTTGTTCTTTTGTCAAATTGTCATTTATTGTTATTTCCCATTTAGACCAGACCCGTGTTTTCCGTCAGGGATGTCTAGTCTAGAAGATAACGGCCCTTCTACATTTCTGCCCAGGGGCAGAATGGTAGGCACAGGTAACTGGTGGTGAACAGACGGATAGTCCGATTAGATGCAATACGAATTGCGAGGGGCCATTGCCCTTTCGTTGGTGAAAAAGGAGAAGAGAATGCCTTCTTTTGTCTTTGAGAAGATGTAACCAAATTTCTCGACTTTGCGGCTGTAGTAACAGTTCGGCTGACGAAAAACAAAAACAAAGAACGGTTTGCCCGACACAAGTGAGCGCAGACCACCGCACCGGTACAATGTTCCTGGCTGAGTTCATGCCGCCTTGGCAATGTGGCCTGATACGTAGACTGCTCATTCGTACACAACTATTCCTGCTGCCGTGGTGTACTGGTGGGGCCCGGCTGAAGCCGCTGCGCGAGACTGACATGTATTGACCTGACTGTGTTTTCCTGAACAGGGGCAAGGATGGTAGGGTGAAAATCCCTGAAGGTTCCTGTGAGGATCTCCCTGGACTGTACTGGGCTAGCAGCCATGAATTGGCCCCAACCCTGCACCCTAAACCACAAGGGTTTCTTTCGGGACATCAGTTGGAATTGGTACGAAACACGTGACCCTTGCGCAAGGATGACAGGCATGAATCGAGAAATGGTCCCAAAAAAAGAAAACCCTCAAGCTCATAATCTGATTGTTGTAGGTTCAAATCCTACACCTGCCTATCTTCCACCGATCTCTATTGGATGGAGAGTTCTAATTGTTCGGCGTGATGGTCCAAAAAACAAAACAAAAGAACTCTAGGGCCATGACTGAGGGCGTCGTTAGACACTCTTTATGAGTTCCTTGAGCCACAAGGATTTTTCCTTGCTGCGCTTAAGGGAATTTTGTTGCGTCGTTCCACACATCCTTGGGGATGTTCCCCTGAGGACGTTTCCTTGTGGCCTGCCCGCGGCCATTTCATATGAAAATACACGACCGCGGGCGGGGCTGTTCGTGGTCCGGCGTCCGTTGTTCTTGTGGAGATGGCGTGGTCCAGTTACGTCCGGCAGGAAAGGGCACGAGGCAGGCCACAAAAAATACAAAAAAAAAAGGGGGCCTGTACGTTTGGAAGTCAAAATTTGAAGTACAGCTGTGGTGAAGACGACGGATGTCCCCCGAGGACGTTTCCTTGTGGCCTGCCCGCGGCCATTTTCATACGGAAATACACGACTGCAGGTGGGGGTGTCCGTGGTCCAGCGCCCGTTGTCCGTGTGGAGATGGCGTGTTCCAGGGACTTCCGGCGGGAAAGGGCATGAGGCAGGCCACAAAAAAAAAAAGAATGGGGACACGGAGGTGGCATGGTCCAGGGACGTCCGGCGGGAAAGGGCATGAGGCAGGCCGCAAAAAAAGGAAAATGGGATCTCTTCGTTTGAAATTCAAAATGTGAAGTATGGCTGTGGTGACGATGATGACGGTCGGCTTGTGACACATAGACGGTGCAGGGCTGAATTGGCCTTAGCGGTGGCGTCCCTTCCGCCCACCTCCCGATCAGTGTATGTGCGTGCACCAGGTGCATCCATTGCACCAGGTGCGTCCATCGCCGTCAAGCTTCTCCTCCAGGTCGTTTGCGCCGTCACATCAGTGTATGTGCGTGCAGCAGGTGCATCCATCGCACCAGGTGCGTCCATCGCCGTCAAGCTTCTCCTCCAGGTCGTTCGGGCCGCCGTCACATCAGTGTATGTGCGTGCACCAGGTGCATCCATTGCACCAGGTGCGTTCATCGCCGTCAAGCTTCTCCTGCAGGTCGTTCGCGCCGTCACATGCAGCGCTAGGCGGACGGCATCAACGGAAAGGCAGCAGCTTCTTGGACCTCTCCTCGAGGGGTGAGCGGGTTACATCTTTGGGATGCGAGGATAGAGATGGCAGTGGAGAGACGTCAGCCCTGTGGAGGTGGTGACGATGGAGGGCGGTGGAGAGGGTGGATGTGTGTTGTTGACACCGCTTGAGCGGGCAGCCATGTCAGCAGGAGAGGGGGCTGGGATGAATCAAGGAGCAGTTGCACGAGCGAAAAAGTAGGACGCTTCTGCAAGCTGCGGACGACAGCCTCGACTACGTGGCAACTTCGGAGGCTGTCATTGAGTTGTGCCACACGTTGGGTTGCGGCGTCATTCCAAAAGCAACACCGAGGTGGTGGATTAAGCGCAGGACGGGGGAGATGTGGGAAGACCTTCGACAATGTGACGACGCCATGGATGACTACTTCAACAAGAAGCAGCACACCGTCGAGGAGCAGCAGAGGGACCACCAGAAGCAGCACAGCAATGTGGAGCAGCGGAGGGAGCCTGCGGTACTGGTCGGCCATGAATTGCACGTTGGAGAGGGCAGCTATGACGTCTGTTGTTGGACATCTAGCACAGGACAGCGGAGAAGGCAAGAGTCTTGTTGGACGTTGTCAACCGGTGGAAGTAGTCTGCCGGCACGCCGACCTGGCCCTATACCACGCGCCGAGTCTGTCACCCACGGGAGGGTCGGTCGGGGCTCCTGTAACCTGCAACATGAGCCGTTAGTCCACATCCACATAAATAAAGACTGGAACGGACTACAAACATAACCATAAGTCTCTCACCACATGGAAGGAATAAAAAGCACATTTCCATTTAGTCCAAAATAATTGGGTTCACTGCTCTACTCCCAACCGCGGAGATAGGTCTTTAGCCCAGGTCTGAAAATTCAGTCTGAGTTCCAATTGACCTCACTAATAGTCTAGGACGAATCCTCCGCCCGATGGGATACCGTCGGTATCGGGCCCGCCGATCCCATGGAATAGTGCTTGAACTCTCGGTGTCTGAGGTAGAATCGAGGGCCCATCGTGGCCACTGTTCCTGGTCAAATTTCACCATGAGTCGGACAAATTTCCCCCCCTCTCGTTGAAACCTGCGCGGTTTAGATCTCAAACGTTCCGGTCCGGTTCGCAGGCCTTGGAAAAAGTCCCAGTCTTAGTTAAAGACCCCAGTCCAGTCCAAAGTCACGGTCCTGTCCAAAGTCTCAGTCCCATTCAAAGTCGCGGCCCGTCTGAAGTCCTGGTCCTGTTCCAGAGTTATGGTCCCATCAAAAGTCCTGGCCCGGTCCCAAAGTTCTGGTCCCATCAAAAGTCCTGGCTCGGTCCCAAAGTTACTGTCCCATCAAAAGTCCTGGCCCGGTCCCAAGGTCCCGGTCTCATTCAAAGTTGCGGCCTGTCCGAAGTCCTTGTCTGTTCGAAGGGCCTTGCTCACGTCCCAAACCCTGCCCACCCAGAGGCCCGGTTCAGTGTAGTGTCTCGTCGCACTGTGAAGGTCCTCTCCAAGTGCGCCTCCGGTCCTATTCGCGCGCTGGTGCGCGCTTATACGCGCGGCTCTCCGCTTCTCGATCCTGATTGCGATGTCGTGCAACTGAGCGCGCCTCCCGTCTTGTTCGCGTGCAGGCGCGCGCTTATGCATGCGGCTCTCGTAGCTTGCTTCCTACTGCGCGTGTGCCCGTACGCTCCGATCCTGATTGCGTGTGTGGTGCGACGATGCGCGCGGTTCCCCTACTCTCCGACTCCGATCGCACGTGCGGGGGCGACAATGCGCGCGGTTGTCGTGACCCCAATCCCTATCGCGTGTGTGACGGGATGATGAGCGCCGCATGACCCCCATCCCTATCGCGTGTGTGACGGGACGATGCGTGCGGCGGTAGTGACCCCGATCCCTATTGCGTGTGTGAGCGCTAGCGTGCGCGACTCTCTCCTCTCGTGCACCCGTGCGCGCGTTGTTCGATCCCCTTGCGATGTCTGATCCGTGCGCTGTAGCCCGGCTCATGCACCTTCTCAGTTCCGTGCGCAATGCCTGACCGTGCACAATTGCGCGCCCTCGAGCGCCTTGTCCTAGCCGTGCGCGGTGTATGGTTCCGTGCGCAATTGAGCGCCCTTGCGCGCCTTGTTCGATCCGCACGCAATGTCTGATCCGTGCGCCGTATCTGATTCCGTGCACAATTGTGTGCCCTCACGCGACTTGTTCGATCCGTGCACAATGCCCGATTCCATGCGCAACGCGTCCCTCGTGTGCGCGCGAGCTGACTCAACTGTCCGTTTTCGTTCCTTCGTGCGCACGTGTGCACGCAACCTTTCGAATCCTTTCCTGTTCGTGTGCGCGCCCACGCGTGTGCGCGCGGCTGTCGCCTGTTGGGCGCCCGTGCGCGTGACTGCCTGATCCGTCTACGCGCACCAGCTCCGTGCGTCTCCGGAAGGTGCGTCTGCATCTCACCCCCG